GGAAGCACTTGGCCCTGTGGTGAGCATGTCCTCGGTTGTGGTTATTCAAACTACTTTTGTCTAGAAATCACACTGGACATCTTGTAAAGACCACCTGCATTGTCATTCTTTGTTCCAGCTGTGAGGGAGATATTCCCTTAACAGTTGCTTTCATGGTTGTTTCACAAATCTGCTTGTAAACTTCAGAAACTGAGAGTCATCCAGTGATCTAAATGACTGATTTGGTTTCATGTTTAAAAGAAAGTAAAAATGAGCAGCAGATCTAAATTGTAGTTATGTATTCCTGGAGCTGTGTTACTCTGACCTTACACCGATGCACTGATGCAAAAATTTGGATGAGTTAAGACTATTACTAAGATCACTTATCTTACATTATTCCTTAAGCCTGCAGGACAAAATATAGCTCCTAGTCCATCCCATGTAGTTGGTACATCATCAGTGACATGGCATTTAATAGGACTCTGGCATTTCAATTAACTTCTTCAATCCCTTCCCCACATAGAAGGATACACAATTCAGGGAGTCATTTTGATTGAGAATGCCAAAGGACATCCTGAATATACCTCACTGACTGGAGGTAAAGACTTGGTGTCTCTCTTTGCTTGTGGCAGGTTGCCTCAGAGCTTTATTAACAGAGAGGGGTTCTTTTTTCTGCATGTAATTTTCCTTGTTTTGCTAAAAGTAACATGAATAAATAAATAACCTGAACAGCGCTATAATGAAGGATCAGTGGGTTAATTGGAAAGATGAGTGGAAAGTGATTGTCCCCTCTCCTGCTGAGCACCTGCTGCCAAGTTAATTCATGCAGCAGCGCTGGAGGTTGTTCCTGGAGGGGTTTCCTGCTGTTTGTCAGCTACGGGTAAGGGGAATATCCACAGAGAGGAGAAAGCAAATCAGATAAATTGAGTTTATTGCTAATCAGCTGCTAGGATTTATTTTCAAGTTCTAGGAACCAACTAAAATGTCAATTGGAGAGTCATTGTTCTTCACTCAAGAGTCGCATCTCCAGCAACACCAAGTTATATTTATTTTAGGACATAGCAAAGAAGGGCAAGGACTTTGTTGCTAAACAAAATTCCCAAGGCAAAATTGAGTACTTGCCATCCATTGGCAAAACAATTCAGTCATTTCATTTTGCTTTTCCTATCGACTGCTTCTGATTGCCAGTTTCTTTCTGGGCACAACAAATTCAACTTTAGTCTAACATAGCAGTTTTTAACAAAAAAAAACCCAAAACCTCTCTGTAAAAGAAGAAATGTTATTCTCTGCTCTCCTTGTCTTGCATCTCTTCTTACATAGTACTAACTATTCAGCCATTACAACTTCTTTTACACTTAAATAGTTCAGCTAAATGTCCCAAATATCTTGTGTATCTTTCACTTTATCTCATTTCTTTTGAACTTGAATTGATAGCCATTACTGGTACCAGGTAGTTTCTTATACTCAGCATAGCTTCACTGATAGGCAGAAATGGGCACTTTATTTTCTCCATCCCTCCTGCTTCCTCTCGTTTTTTCTGCCCTCTTCTATTTGTCTCTTTATAGTACTCTTCCTTTTTTCCTTTGTTTACTCTCTCATTCTGACTTACTAGAATTTTCTGAACCAGGCAGAGTAGCAGTGAGTGTGTCAGAAAGATGGAAGGGATCTGAAGCTGTCCCCAACAAGAGCAGCTTCTTTTTTTTCATTTCTTCCTAAAGTTGGTGCCTTACCTCTTTTGCATATCTGTAAAGGGCAGGGATGCTAGGCTAGGGCTCAGCATATCAATCCTTTCTTCCAGCTCGGACAGAGAAGGACTGTAGTAGGCTTATAGGAAGGAACAGGTTGCATCAGTACAGATTTCTAGAGCAAAAGAAGTCACTGTATAATATAACTGTAAAAGTCTCTGGAGTTCTGAATAAATGACTACAGATGTGATGCTTCTGAGTGGGATTTGTCTCAAAGACAGAAAGAGATCGAAATTGAGCCCCACTTATTTTCTCTCCTTTGAAAGATTAAAGCAAAAGGATTAAGGATGCAACTTATGCTGAGATATTTTTAATTTTGCAGGAGAAAGTCAAATGGACAGATATATTTATTTTTCAGTATTTGAAAAAGGGGGGTGTGGAGGAGGAAAAGAATGCTATCAGGTAAAAATGTACCTTTTACACATTACAATAGGTGTGGTACTTACTTTGGTAAAGCTATGCATACCAATATTCAGGAAAACTTAGTTACAATATTATTTTACTAACATAACATTTCCCTTTGTTCCTTGCGGTTCAGTTTTAGCTAGAGAGCAAGTATGATCCTGGAAGTGGTTTAACTTGCACACATGTGTGTTTAAATCTCTGACGTATTCAACCAAGAAGGACAAGTGCAGTTTTTGCTTAACTCTAAATGTGTGCTAATTGTTGACTTAAAACATACTTGACTTTTCCACTGCATCAGAGTGGCACATATATCACTGGGTATCATCAAGGATTTTGGTCCTATTTGAGTTGTCAGAATTCTTAAGAGCTTATACCTGAAATTTATCGTCAGTAAACACATATGCTTCCTTTAATTTTAGAAAGGGCACAAGGAACGACTAGACTATTTATTTAGCTCCAGGGTGCCATCAGTTTTGATGTGACTGTTTCCAATTTGAATAGATAAAAACTCAGGTTTCCTGGAAAGAAAAATTATTAGGAATCCTTTTTGTTCTGCAAAGGTATTATGAAGTGACCATATTTATACTGATTTATAAAGCAGTTAATTTTTAGGTTGGTCTTCAGGTGTTACATACACTAAATGCTATGAAAAATGCTGAAATTATTACATAACCTGCAATATAAATTATAGTAAGAACCTCTCTAGGCTGCGTAAGTGTGATTGGTAGGTGATTCCACCATGGAAGGGATACAGGAAGACTGCAAAATCAAAGACCCTGAACTTCAGAAGAAGCCTACTTGAAGTTCAGTTTGTTAGTCACTGAATGGGAAAACAAGCCTTCTTTGTTCTCTTGTATGAGACAATTACCCCATGTGCTTAAATATCAAATAATCTTTCTTCATGTTTTGTTTTATGAAAGTAATGAATTAACTATAGGAGTTATATACTGATTGATATCTTGATATAGATTCAGGACATGATAAAGTTTAGTAATGTTTCATTCTTATTAATATGCCTCCTTACTAAGAAGGGCTTCAAGAACAAAATACTGCATTTTAAATTTATATTTTTGGATGTGAAAAATGTCTTTACAGTATTTGCTTCATGAATGTTTTGCCCTGCTTCCTTCTCTGCATCTTTCTTTGACTTTTGTACTTCATGGACTGCCAGCTATTTCGAGCATGCATGAGTCTTTTATGTTGGGGCAGAGATATATGCTGCACAAATACCATGGGCTGTCAGAAATGTACCTGGTGATCACTGTTAGTACAAATTAAACATTTCTAAACTATTTAATGTTTTCAAGTGAGTACCTGACCAGTACCAAGATCAAAGTAGATATAAAGCTTTCTTACAGTCACTATATGTATGTGCATACACATGTTGTCGTGCACTTCAGGTACCTTTTTTTGGTTTAAACTCAAGAATCGGGTCTTTGTTGTACCTGTCATATGAACATTGGCTGCCTTCCAAGTCTTCTCTTCCTTATGCCTGCCACATACCTCTCTAATTTCCTTTCTTCCATGGAATGGCATTTAGTGATTGCATGTGCCCATTTTATAGCATAAAATATCAGGAGGCTTACTTTTGTTCATGATACTTCAGGAAAATTAACTTTGGTAGCACAGGGGAAGAGAGTTTAATGAAAGGAGCTACAATCTCCTTCTCCCAAATATGTTGTGCAGCTTTATTTTTAAATTGTCATTGGATTCCTCAGTAACACACACATGCATTCCTATTCTGTGTGTGTCAAAGTCTTTTTATTAATTTATGGTCTTATTCTTGATGAACATAAAAAGCAAACTAGTACAGGACAACATGCACTCCATTAGTATATAACTCATAATACTGAATTGATTTTTTTTTAATTCCACAGAATAGACCAGTTAAAAGCTAAAGTGAATATTTAAGTATGTAAATAAATCAAAGTGTTTTGCATATTTGACATGCTTACTAATCATGGTTTATACCTGAGCATTCTGGCACATACAAAATCATTGATATTTGATAGTAGTTAAATGGCTAGAATCTATAATTCTTACAACTATATACAACAGAATCTATATGATTAGCCTAAGTAAAATCAACTTGTAATCATTTTGATGGTGAACTGAGAACTGAGTGACATGAGAGGTTTAACTGTGTAACTTCATGTCTGGGTAGGATGCCATGCAGTCAGATGCCTCTATATGTTTCTAGAATTAAGTATCTGCATATGTGTGCAGAGGTAAGAATGTCGTAGACTCATTTCCTCTGGCTGCCTTCATAGGAGACACATTCTGTTTTGGTTTGTTCTGTTTTCATCATTGAGGCCCAATAAATGTTTAAATCGCCAAAAATTAAGCCTACAACTTTTAATACATTCAGCTTTTCCTTTATTTGTCTGTATATTGCTCATTAATAAAAAAGAAGACTCTTCATAGCAGGGCAAAATATTGTGTAATTTGTGTTTATAATGCATGGAACATTTGTTTTAATTGATGAATGTGCTTTATTAAGTTTGCGTTACTTTAACATTTCACTTCTCTCTTTGTTGTACTGGTTGAATTTTTATGACTGTGTGACTTGAAAACCAGTGATGAGTCATGATGGGAAGACATCTGTAGGGATGCATGCAGAGAAGAAAGTGAGGGGTTGCCATTATGATCATACCACACGACACAAGAAAATGCGTATGTTGCACTCACTCATTTGGGGCATGGGCAGCCAGACAGAAAGGGGAAGGATTTCTGTGTCACATGCTGCTGGTATAATGAGTATAATAATGTGCATATGTGTTTGTATAGTGGTTTTCTGAATGCGTTAAGAAAAAGCTGTGGTTTTAGCAGTTATTCTATGTGGTGAAACAATGCAAATTTTCACTTTTTCAGATAATACTCTCAGCATATTGGCAAAGCATAGTGGATTCAGCCGGCAGAAGCAAGAAGTATATCTACTGCCAATCATAATAAGCGATAGTGGGAATCCTCCCATGAGCAGCACTAGCACTCTCACTATTCGAGTCTGTGGTTGCAGCAGTGATGGTATTGTCCAGTCCTGTAACGTTGAAGCATACGTACTTCCTATTGGACTCAGTATGGGAGCCTTAATTGCAATATTAGCATGCATCATTTTGCTGCTAGGTATGTATTCATTTCACAGCCTGGTGTTCAAAATTTTTCTAATTCCTGGGTGGCTGTAAGTAAGCAAAGGAGACACGTAGAAGGACATACAATCTAATAGAATGTAACGTGCAGCAGTACTGACAGACCTGCCAGGACTGCATCCCTACTGTACTAAGAACTGAACAAAAGCATATAAAGCAAAGTCCCAATCTGAAGTAGTCTTACACACAAGTTACATAATAAACAGGCATGGAATACGAAACTGAAAATCAAATCAGGTATGTTAAGTAGCAAGGTGGGCACAGGATATAGTGCACATGATGGAAAATGGATTTGTTGTATCTTCTAAGACTTTTAAGAGTTTATTCTGGATTGTAATGGCACAAGACACATTACAGTTTTACACGTTAAGAAGCACTGTATATTTTAATAAAACATACAAAATTTGTATACGACATCAAGCAAGTGAGGGAGAGAACAGTGAAGGAGGAGGCCTATTTCTGCACTTTGCAGCTTCACTTTGTAACTGAGATTTACATCAGTAACTGAGATTTCAGCATTAAGCTGCAAAAACAACACTGTAACCAATTTAGAGCTTTTTATGCGTCTGTCCATGATTCTGAAATGGATGTGTCTAAGCTCTTTCTTTCTCCCTTACTGTCACATTCTCTTTTCAGTTATATAGTATGAGTCTGTTGCAACACGTCAAAACAAGGCACCAATTTCCTTCTGTCATCAGGGCTATATTTTCAGAAAAACACCCTTTAATTTTGGAAAACTCCATCCATAATGTAGATTGTGATAGACTATGTTCAGTGAATGATGATAGCTTGACTTCACCTAGGTTTGTAACCTTTCCAAAGGGAAAAGTTGTTGTCTAAATTCAAGGCTCAAAAATGGAAGTATGTGAATGTTATTGCCTATATAAAATTGAGCTTCAGATGTAAATACGAGTTGATAATAGAAAACTAGAAGACTAACCAGAGCTTCTGATCAAATTTCCATCACTTGAATGGGGTTGAAGTTATAGGTCTTTCAGCTTTTCACCACCCTTATTACTCTTATTTTCACAAAACGCAAACCTCCACAACTGCGCTTAACATGTAGTGCTTTGATTGGAAATTTTTTACCTAATCAGCCTGTGATGCTTTCTTTGCAGTCATTGTGGTGCTGTTTGTAACACTAAGAAGACATAAGAATGAGCCTCTAATCATCAAAGATGATGAAGATGTGAGGGAAAATATTATTCGTTATGATGATGAAGGAGGTGGAGAAGAGGATACAGAAGCTTTTGACATTGCAACTTTGCAAAATCCGGATGGAATTAATGGATTTTTGCCTCGTAAGGATATTAAGCCTGATCTTCAATTTATGCCCAGGCAGGGTCTTGCACCTGTTCCTAATGGTGTTGATGTTGATGAATTTATTAATGTAAGGCTTCATGAAGCCGATAATGATCCCACGGCTCCGCCATATGACTCTATCCAGATTTATGGCTATGAAGGAAGAGGGTCAGCGGCTGGTTCCCTTAGCTCATTGGAGTCCTCTACATCAGACTCAGATCAGAATTTTGACTACCTCAGTGAATGGGGTCCTCGCTTTAAAAGACTTGGAGAACTTTACTCAGTTGGAGAAAGTGACAAAGAAACTTGACAGTGGATTACAAACTTTTTCACTGTTGACTTAATGATCATGTAATATTCTAGGGCCACTGCTGTTAGTTAAAACTAATGTGGCTTTTTGTTTTAGAGGCAAGTTTAGCGCCAGTCATCTATAAAATCAACTACATTGTAATGTTGAACCAAAAAAAAAAAAAAAGTGTATGTTAGGAGGTTAAGTCTTGTGGAGTGTGAAGTAAAGTATGTGGAGTGTCTAGAAGTCTTTGGATATTTGATATTCACTTGACCACTGCCCGAGTCATTTAAAAAAAAAACTAATTTTAAATGTTAAACAAAAAAAAAAAAAAAAGTGTATGTTAGGAGGTTAAGTCTTGTGGAGTGTGAAGTAAAGTATGTGGAGTGTCTAGAAGTCTTTGGATATTTGATATTCACTTGACCACTCTGAAGATGGAGATTTGGATCTTTGATTATCTTCAGTGAATTGAAAAGAACAAAAAGAAATTGGTGCTTTCTTAGGAAATGGACTTGCAGGGATTTTGCTGTTGAACAGTAGCTCCTGCCAGTACGTGTAAAGCTAATGGTTTGGTTTTGCATTGCCAACAAAGATCCCGCCACAGAAATGTTAAAAGCAATATCTTGGTCTTCTTAGCAATGCTGAATAGAAATAGCATTGTAAATTCCTACTGGCTTCTACTGTGCAGTGACCATACATTGTACATACAGTAATTGTTGGCCACATAACCACAGACTGAATATCATCTTTAAACATTGTGTTAAGCCTTAAAATATTCACATGTTCTTAATCCATTCCAGTGATGGGTAATAAATCCTACTAATGTGCAGAGATTCAGAGGCAGGGCTACAAAACCTTGCTTTACAAAAGGATCTTTTTCTAGAAGAAGGATCAATCCTGTGCTTCATCTTCTGAAAGGAAATAAAAAACTGTGAAAGGGGATGGACTTACAATATGAAAGAATTGCTGATTTTATTGCTAAAGATCGAATTTATTTGTTTAATCTTTGAAATAAATATTTTATTGATGTCCATTACTGCTTTTATTTATTAAGACTGATAATCTATAGAGTAAGATTATGAAGAAAACTAAATTATATCTGTTAGATTTTTTTTCTATATATAATGAATGTTTAATACATGTACATTTTGAAAAGAAAAATGACAAATTGTTGCAGGTTAAAGCAGTAACCTATCCATTTGCAGTAGATGAATTTTAAGAGAATGCTGGCAGGAATAAAACTTTCCCAGAGAAAACTTTTGACAGTTTTATATCTTCTTCATAAATCTAGTACCTGGTGTTTTTAATACAAGCACAAACAGCTGGAAGTAAACTGGTTCATGTGAATATTTAAACTATAGACTTTTAGAAATCCACACATAACACAGTACAGTAAAAAACATGCTTATAGTTCTCCACTGTATTAGAGCAGGAACCAGTGTGTACATAATTTTACTGCTTATGTTATTAGCATTTCTTTTCTATAATATTCATAGTGATGCACCAGGGCTCTTGCACACAGAGAAAGAACAACACTAGAAGCTGCAAGCATACTCAATTTGTAATGCAAACTTGCCATTTAGAAGTAGCAATTGTATAATAAAACTACGTATTACATGCAAATCATTTTAATTTTCTACTTTGTTTTGAAGCTATATTATTGTTTGTTTATTTACTCCATGTATTGTATTCAGAGAAACTCCTGTATTGTTTCCTACTTTGTGAAATATATTTTTATAAATACTTTTCTTGTTATTGCTTTTCTTTCAGTTTTACCTGTACACTGCAGAAAGGAATCTGCCTGAATAACTTCATAGTTTGTTGAGGAATGTACTTCCTTCAAAATCATTTATTTATTAGTTGAATACAGCCAAAATAAGAAAGGATAATAGTTGAAGCAATTTTTGACAGTGTTTGCAGAATTAGATATGCAGCGGCCTGTGACCACAGGAGTTATGTGTGTCTAATTCACTGTGCCATGCTGAAAAGTAACCTCACTTTTTTTGTGAAGTACTGCTAGTAAAAATGATCCCCTCTCTTTAAGCTCCTTAGTAATGTTTGTTCTGCAAACAAAATGTCTTAATGCATCACCCCCGATTTTACCTGTATATCAAAATGGAAACACTTTACTTTAGCTGTGGCATGACTGGTTTTAATGACTGCAGACAACTAATACGCTAACACCACCTCTATATGTATTATAAAAATTTTATTGAAATTAATGAAGTATCCAATTCATTTAAGTTAAACTGCATTAAAAAAAATGCCTCTGAAGAACTTTATCTAGCAATTTTGGTAATACTATAAACTAAACAGTGAAGTCATCTAAAGACAGGAAAGAAGCAGTCATCAAGATTTCAATGAAATCAAACATATTTATGTAACAGACTGTAATAACAGCAAAACACATCCTTACTAATCACTTGCACCAAGTGCCAGGGTGTTCTGAATTGCCATGCCAAATCTAATAGTAGTGTAAATGCAAAAGTCTGATTTGAAACTTAGACTGAGCCAATTTTTAGTCTACATCCCACTCCTGGGAGCAAAGGAAGGTGCTGTGAGATATGGATCACATTATTGTCTATAGTCACTTAAGCGTTTAGGGCAAGTAGCTCTGACTATGAGTTCTAGTATATACTCTAGAGTTTTGCAAAGCTCTTTTGTAGGAAAACTCACAAATGGATAACCTTCTGATTGCGTTTTTGATTGAAAGTTCCATCTGAGACCACAACAGCGCATTCAGTAATAAGATTTCCAGGAAAAAAAATCCCATCACTGGCACTGTAGGAGAGGCAAAGCATGACAGAAATCTCATCATTGTCAGTCAAAAAGAGATGGTAGCTACTACTGGTGGGCATAGCTGTAAACTGTGCATTTATACAGGTTTAAACCTGAATATCTACAATGCAAAGGGGAGTAAAAAAATTAATGGTTTTGTGGTCTGTCAATAGCGATGTGCTATTTCCATTGCTACCCCACCAAAGGGAAATGATTCATTCTGCAAACTAATTCCATGTAATTTGAATATAAAATTTATACCCATACATATTAGAGGGTTAAATGTTGATCATTCAGTTTTCCAGTAGTTGTTCATTTTTTGACAATGAAATTAATTCAGTATAAAATTGTTTTGGATAACCACAGTATTTAGGGGGATTAGAATCATATTGTTCTACATTTCACATCTAGATTTAGACATATTAGTGACATTCTTTTTAAGCATGTAAAATGGTAATTCATCTTTTTCAACAACATTTAATTAGCAATTGACTCATTATAAGTGACAAGGAAAATGCATTAAATTAAAATTATTAATACTGATAAATTTGAGAATTAAATTCTCAAAATCTTTTACAAGTGCCAAGCGCCTTAGAGTCCCATTGATTCTGGCTTGCCTTCACCTACCTATGTCTCATACTCATTTGTCAGAACTGCTGAAGTAAACCATCCCACATATAAAAGCTGAAATTCTAAGTTTTTGGCCTGGACATTGTCCAGGCACAAAATTCAGCTCAGACATTTCAATATGCAACCACTGTGAAGTGAATGTGTCTACAGGTTTACTAATTATAACTCAGATGACTAAAGGTCTTGAACATGTTCTGTCCTTTACAATAACTGAAAGCATATTCTATTTGTGTGCTGTGACCTTGAAATCAAATCATGGAAAGCTCATTTAGACACAATGCATTTTTCACCTGGTATCATTTATACCTTTTTGTCTATGATGAATTTGAAATGACTGTGAAATATACAGGAGAGAAAATGGCTGAAGATTTTCATTTAAATCAGCAGTTGCTGATCACAGGAGAAACATTTAACACTATGGCAACTCCAAATACCATCAACTATGCCGCAGCACAGCAGTAACAATTCTCAATCTGGAGAACAGACAGAATGTCTGCAAAATAGTATGTTCGAAATAACTTTATTTGTACAGCTCTGCTAGAGATGGAGCTGCTGATTTTAATATTCAGAGAAAAATAAATCAACTATACTATATCCACCCAGTTGCATGTACCTACATACACTACATATGTGTGTGGCAATTTTTTTTTAACAGCCTGCATGGTCATTGAATTCTAGAAATGGATAAATGGGCTTAGAAAGCTTCTCCAAGGTCTGTCCAGCTGGAGGAAACCTTGGAAGGTAGTCTGGTTTTGTATGAGATTTTCTTCAGACACAATTTCAGTCTTAATTGAGCTATTTGACTGTTTCTCCTTTTCCCTGCCCCTCTCTCCACCAGTTCACCTATCCTGAGCTATAATACCGTGAACACATAATGTTAGGAAGTAACTTCATTGAGACCACATAGCTCTTTTTCAGCTGGTTTCAGCTGGTGTGTTCAGTGACTGGAAACAAGCAGGCAGGCCAGGACAGTTAAGCTCACCAAGCTCTCTTCCCTCTCTCTCATTATCCTATTTGTGTTTAAAAAGAAAACAAACCAAAAACCAACAAACAACTGTATGCAAGTGGCTTACTTTTCAGATGTAGTCAGAGGACTGTATTGTTACTTGAATGAGTTCAAGTGTTGCATAAAAAAAATAAAAAGCATGACTAGAAGCAATACAAAAACCTATCATAGGAAGACTTAGAGTGAACAGTCTGGGCTACTTACACCAAAGGACTGTTTCTGTATTTTAAATTACACTGAAAAATCTAAAGCCAATGATGATGCTTTTTAGTTAATAGGAAGAATGTTCAGTAGCAACACACACTCACAAGTATTTCTGATGAAGAAAAGTGAAAGAGCTTACTCAAAAAATTATTTTTCAGATTTGGAACGTTTTTAGCAGTGGAAGGATGTCCTAGTAAATTAAAGCTTAGTAAAAGGAAAGAAAAAGTGTGAGTATTCACCATTATTAGAGTTTGCTTTCAGAATGTATCAGGTGTCATTAGCAGCAGACAGAGTGAGCAGTGGAAGCTTTCTGTAGTCTATCATTCAGATAAGTTGGACTTGTATTATTTCTACATTTGTACACTATTTGTGCAAGATAATATTCTGGCTTTGCAGAAGGTGG